CCATTAGAAAATAAAAAATTATAAGCAGTTCAGTTTTTACTTTTCTGTCATTTCAATATTCAACAAAAAGTCCAACATTCCTTACCAGTAACTAAATTCAGACCTGTGAAGACACTATTACAGTAATTAAAAACTAGATAAACATTGGGACATTAGTTGTTTAATCCTGGAAACATTCTACAGGCAATAGAAGGCCGACTTTGTAACTGTCTTTATTTGACTCTGAATGTTAAGGTTTACTACACCCAGATTGCAGGCCTGACTAGCAGTTTCTGTCGTAACCAATATTTTACATCCAGATTTACTGCATCTGATTTCTTCTAGTGCAGAATTATGACTAATTATTTATCTTAATGACACATTTTTTAAAATTATCGGATACTTTTCTGATTTAGTACCACATATGGAAGTTGGACAAATCGTGTTTTTGTGGGTGCAAAAAGATCAGGATCAAGTTGTTCTGTGTTCTTGTTAGAAAAACTGTTCAGTCATTTTAATTTACAGCATGTTGCACTGGCAGATTATTTTACTTTCAGTTTTAAGGGGTTATTGACTTAAAACAAGCTCCTATTTCTTGCTGGAAACGTTTACTTTTGTCTTATTTCAAGAGTATTAAGATATTTTCCTTAGAAATAAGACAAAACCACTTGGTAAGGTTTTGTTTTTGCAGTGCAGACCGTCAGTTTCTTTGAAAATTGTGAGTAAAATCTAAGTGTGAAGGGTTGGATTTCCCACTGCTTCTCCATCACCTTTTAAGGTTTATTTTGCTCAGTTAGGGCCCATAAACATGGAGCCACACTGTTATTAACTCGGATTTATTAAGTCCAGTAATTCCTGCCTTATTATCTCTGTTGTTTTGGCTGATGGGGTTTGAATATACGCAGGCAACAGCCTGTTTACCACCATCCTCTTACTTTCTAGAGCATTGCCGCAAAGTTAATTAGCTTTGCTCCCTAATTGGGTACAGAAGATGCTTGTGGATTTTTTTTTCTTTTCGTTGTGACAAAAGCTGGTGGAATAAAGCTTGGTCCACTTTCAGCTCAGAATGAGACGGTTAACTGTGGCCTGCTGCAGCTGTTTTCTCCCTCTGTGTAAGTTTCTGTGCCCAACAGGCTCCATCTTTTATTAAACTCCTTCCTGCTCCAAGTCTTGCTCTGACAGTTAGCAGAAGGTAGCATGTAAAACTACTTTGAGAACAACTCACGCTCTGCAGTGCACCTCCACTCCTCTTTCTGACAAGTGGTGACATAGTAACTGTCGATCTTTCCTCCCCTATTATGAAGGAGGTTTCACATTTCTCCACTTCAGGGCTGCCAGCCGTCTTTTCTCTCCCCATATTTCTCCTTTGAAACTTGCTCTGCTGCTACAAATCAAATCATGACGTATCGAGCAGAACCGCTCTCAAGTAGCGGCTGCTTTGACAACGCTGCAGACAACCGTGGATGTCTGGTAAGGTGCATCGCTCCCTATGGTAGCCGGCTGTGCAGCATCAGAAAAGGGGTCATTCTGACACCTGGAGACTTATTAGAAATCACTTGCTTACTTTTAGGAAAATCAGCTGAATTTAAATTCAGAAGTACTTAAAGTTTTTGTAGCTTGTATTTTGTTGTAGATGCTGTAGCAGTCTGTAATACAGTGATTTCAAAGAAGCCTCTGACTGAAGAGAGAATTTTTTTAGGAGAAAATCCTTTTTTGCATTTGCACAAACATCTCCAGAAAAAATCAGAAAAATAAAAAATCCCCAAAAAATCAAACTACACTGCAAAAACACAAAATCTTAGTTAAAAGTTGAAGGTGAAGTAGTGTCTTTCACTGACTGCACTTCAAAAATGTAAAATTTTACCAAGTATTTTTGGTCTATTATAATTCAAACATCTTATACTTGAAAAAAGTCAAAACTATATTCCAACTAACTTTTCTGGAAGAAAAGGGAACTTGTTCTAAGTCAATAATTCCTTTAACATTGATTAAAAAGTACTAGGTATAAGTCACATAATTTGCCAGTGGAACTAGTACTTTTTCGTCAGTATTAGGAAATATTTACTTAAAACAAGCTGGTACGTCTTGCTTAAAAATTACTCTCAAGTTAGTTTTGTCTTATAAGATATTTGCTCTACAGACTAGACAAAATGCTTGGTCAGATTTTGTTTTATTTTTAGAAATATGAAAATAAATTCACTTAATGGCAACACACCAATTTAGAAGAAACTTGTTTCTTTGATAAGTTTATGCACCAGGATGAGGTGGCTTTTTGACAATATTTTGCAAAACTGCAATGGAAAAACTTCTTTTGCATCACCGGAATCATGTGACCAACAACCGGATGTTACTACTGGCGGAAATTATGAATAAGACGACAGGAAGTGGTAGGAGGAGGATGATGCTGCATGTTTTTAATAACTTATTTATTCATGTATGATTTTAATTGTGTTTCTTATTTAATGGAAACACTGCAATTGCGAAATTGTTTTTTCAACATTAGTGGAATATTAAAGTTTTGCGCACATTTGTAATGGAAATGCAGCTAGTGAGGACAACTTCCTGTTTCACGAAATTTAAACAAAACTGGAGTAGCATCAGATTTTCTGTTTTGCCGTTGGTAAAAGACCACAAGTAGTTTCTCCTGCCAGCAACTCTCGCGTTTTTTTTTGTTGTTTGTTTTTGTTTTTTTTTTTTGGTTCTATTTACCCAGAATGCCCTGGTCTGTAGACCACTTCCTGCTTCTGGAGCAGACTTTCCAGACAAACGGACTAAACAGGGCTGGTGTCATGATCCGTGTTTCTGTGTATTTATTTTAAGGATTGTCTGTGTTCAGTTTCTGTCCTGGGAGTCTCTGTTTCTGCGTCTTCCCTGTTTATTGATCCCAGCTGTGTCTCGTTCCTGTGATTACCCTCCCAGTGTATTTAGTCCCACCTGTGTTCCCTGTCAGATCCTTGTCGTTTGTTGTACGTCTTCCGCCAAGCTCTCCAGTCGCACTGTTTAAAGTCCTGGTTAGCCTTAGCTCCCAAATTCAGTCACCTAGTTGTCAGTTGCTACCGGTTATTAGCTGTGTGCTATTGTTCCTGCCGTGCTGCCTGACTGCACTGTTTTAAGCAACATTCATCATTAAATTCTTCATCTTTACCTGGGTCGTCAGCGTTCAATCTCACCACCACCAACCTCACCTTATGACACCTGGTTTAAGTATATCCAACGTCTGAATCTATGATTATCAGTAAAACTTAAAGAAAACATCCCTGACCCAACTTTGTCTCATTATAAGCATTGCAGATTAAAATCTTTTTGCAATTCAAATACTTTTGCGCATGGGAGATCTTTCTGCAGCCGTATTAACTAACATCACAAAACAGAAGACCGTGCTGTTTTTATCTCAGTGGGTCACCCCCTCCCACATCTTTTCTTCTTAAAGAAAAGAAACGGATGTTGCAGTGGTGAATTTGTGATTAAGGCCAGGAAGAACCCAGGTGTTTTAAAGGTTTGAACGTCTGTCACTGGTTTCCTCACAACCCGCCGGGACCTGAACTGACAGTATGGCTTCTGGATGGATTTAACTTCTCCACCAGATGCTTCCCTGACTCTAGGGTACAGATACTCAGGAGGAAAAGCTTGTGTTACATGTTTTCTCTCTTTTTTTTCATTTTGGGATATATTACAGAAAAGCTAATTCTCAAGGGCAATTCGGTGGTGATATTTCGCCTGCTGTGTTAGCACAGTTCATCATAATGATGCACAGCCTGGGAAGGTTATTTTCGAAAATGTATTCATTTCATTATAAGCGTGGAGTTAAAAAGATACCCTCCAGAATGTGGTTATTAAAAAAAAAAAAGAATATTTCTGAAAGGGTACACAACAAAATGACTGAAGAGGATTAAAAAGAGCCACTGATGGCAGAAAGAAAGCAGATATATCACTATTCTGACAAGAAAAAGGCAAACCTTAAGTGTAGATGCAGACTGCATTTCAAGGTAAAGTTCTGTGATGAAGCTGAGTTTTATTAATTACACTCATTCTGGGATTGTAACTGAAAGGATTGCTGCAAAAATCATCCCTACAAGTTTTTTATTTAGCATTTTTCAACCATTACAATTCAGAAATACAAATTCTTCTTTTTTTCCCATATTGCCCACGTTATTTTTGTCCAAGAAGAAGAAAGAAACAATGTTCTAATCTATCTGAACTGAATACATTAGGACTCAATCTAAAGCACTCCACACCAAAGTAATGCAAAAACAGCTGCCAATTCTGGCAACAAAAGGCGGTTTAAGATCTTGGTGCTTGTTTTTAGTCAACAGTGCAGCTACTTCTTCTGGTTTGTTTTTCACAGTTCTTGTAGAGATGCAGCAAACAAAATGCCACAAACACAATAGGAAGTTGACCATTTTGGGTCATAGCTGCCATTTTAGGACAAAAAAGTGAACCTTCGTCCACCCAAAAACCTTGGTCTCTGTTCGGTTGAAGTGAACTCTGGTGCAGTTTGAATGCATACGTGAACGCCAAGCGGACCAGAGACAGCTTCAAAAGCAGGAAGTGGACTACACCGCTGGGCATTCTGGGTAAACGCAACCAAAACAAACGTGATAGTTTAGCACTAGCAGGAGAAATGGCTCTTGGTCCTTTACCAAAGACAAAAGATAAATCCTACAACAACTAAAGTTTTTGTTTACATTTTGTGAAGAAGGAAGATGCGGTCATTGTCTTCTTCAGAGGTTTTCATGTTGTTTTCTTCAGTAGTTCTTGGTGCAGCGCCCCCACAGGTGAGGAGGGGAACAGGTTTTTCAAAGCTTTGGGTTGTTTGACAGTGCAGAATGTTGAACCGCAGCAGCTGAAAATTCAACAAATGTTGCAATTCTGGTTCCCAACCAAACTGAGTATACCAGACTGTGAGGTGGGGAGAAACACCCTGAGTTGCTTTCAATTTCTTTGTGTTTTTTGCATTGCTTTGGTGTGGTGTGCCCTAGGGAGCATCTTCACTAAGTCCATACTCAAATGAAATGGACATCTTTGATTTGTTCAACTTTTATTGAAAGTAATGCCCCAAATGTCTAAATCTCCACACTAGACTTCTCCATTGATCATAATCGAGTTTTGGACTCTGCTAGTCGTCTTCTAGTTTCATCTCTTTTTTTCAAGGGTTTCATCCCTTTCCTCAGGCAGAATATATTGAATGAGTCTGGGTAGTGGAAAACGAGTGTCAAGGAAATGTGCAACTGCAGCAGAATAGCAATTTAATTGCTCTTTGACTTACTCAGCTCGAGTGATGATTGTTGTAAAATCACCATCCAATCACTCCTTTGTGTGCGCAGAATAAAAAGGACCAAAGACGGCCAGCAGTCCTAATGTTGACAGCATGTCTGGTTGCCTTACATACACTTTCTTCAGAAGACATCTTGTCATAAGGGAACATGAACCATCCTCCTCCTTTAATTTTTCCTGCTTAACACAGACATAAATCTGGATAAACATTTATCTTCTTTCTGGTGCTAAGAGTAAAGAATCCAGGTGCGTTTATGTGGGACAGTACAGCTTTTTATTCTTTTCTACTCTTCCTACAAATTGCAGTAATGTCCCACATTTTTACTCGCGCTATTTTCAAAAAAATCATGTCTGCAGGGTGAACGCTTTCCCCCCCAGTTTACCAGATCCACTGGCCATTAATGAAAGTTGGGAGTAAGTCAAGTGCAGGCTGACCTGTTGCTGTCTTTGCTGCCCAGATGGGAAACATTTTCAGAAATGCTATGAAAATAACGACTTAAGCTGTGTAGATTTCTATTGAAAAACAGAGAAAATGGCCGCAGAGGAGAGGAAATAAAATGGCAACAAATGTTTCCTTGCTAAAACCCTGGAGAAGCAGAGATTTAGAAAAGTAGCTGAAAAAAAAACATAACTTACCACAATGGGCCGAACAAGCAGGAATAAGTGCTGATGCATACATTTTTTGTTTTTAAAAATCACATTTTGCACATTTTTCTACATCCATTTGGGTTTCTACTGTTTCTAAAAACAGTCCAAGCGCTTAGAAAAAACACCCAGCTGTTTTTTGACAATGTTAATGATTTTTAGTATCAGAAAAATGAGACATTACAAAAACCTTCAGAATGTAACGTCACAAATCGAAAGGTAGCCTAGCAACCTCAATGAATTCAACCCGTTGCCTAGCAACAAGAGGAGCTCCAACATGATTGGTCTGCTTGTATTTCTTAGGGTTTTGCTTTCAGAAATAATATCCCAGACAAGATACAAATAAGAGAAAGTATAACATAATTTCTTAGAACAATTTTAGATTTCTTGAAACAGGTAACATAAAATTTTTAGTTTTATGGAAAACAAGTTTTTGACATACCTGTTGAAAATGGGATTTGCTTGTATATCCCTAAGATAAATTAAATTAATCTTTCTAAATGGATTAATACTTTATCTAAAAATCATGATTTTTATGGCTCTTTGTTTAGTTTAGCTTCTTCTTGAGCTGGATGACTCGTTCACATTTTGAGCGTTTTTGAACTTCCATTTGGGTCTCTTTTATTTCTAAAAACAGCCCAAGCACTTAAAAAACAAATACCTCATCATTTTTAGGCATTAAGGTAAAATTGTTGGTGTCTGGAAGATGATCAATTTCAAGAACCACAAGAATGTAACGTCATAAATCAGCCAAGCCCAGCCCGTTACCTAGTAACTCAGAGTTCCTCGACGTTTGGGCAGCTGGTTTACAATGGAAGCTGGAAAAGACGAGTGTTACCTAGCAACACAAGCACAAAATGTAATGAACATGTTTTGTATCGCCCATAGAACTATCCTAACCTGTTCAAGGAGGCATAATAGTTTAATTAGGTAATAATTAGTGCTAAAAGACAGGAGGCTTCACTTGGATTTATCCTCAAGGACCTGATACTTGAAATGGATTTGTCCCTTTCAAACTTGAGATTTTACTTGGATTATTCCCTAAATTACTTGAAACCTGACCTACACTCGTGCTGTAAAGACTTAAGATGTAACTCACAGTTGTAGTTTGGGACTCAAGTCTCACATATCTTTGTCTTTCTTACATTCTTATTAGAGACTTGAACTAGTCGTTTAAAAATTGTAGACTTTACTTCACACAGTGAATTGTAAAAAATATTTGTGAACTTCTCTGGGAATCATCCACAACTTTCAGCTTCTTAAGGAAGTATCCCCTTCCAGAGCTGGAATATTTTAACTGATTCTTGATTACTGTGCCAAGGGAAAGGGTAGGCACATTTATCAAATGGTCAGAAATAACAAAAATGCATACACTGCAGTGCAGCCTTATTGCATTCCCTGTGCACACACTGGTTCTCCTTTCTGTGACGTGTTAGCCTCTGTGGGCCCATTCTTAGCCAGAACATTTCTTGCTTTGTCAAGCCAAAAGGTTCAGAATGAGCTTTCCACTATACCATCGGAGGTGAGGCAGTGGCCATTCTCCCTCTTCCTCAGTGAACACAACACTGAAATGAACTGAAGGACAACTGATGCAAATGAGCCAAACTGCACAAAGGATGCAGGTTATCAATACTTAGGAATTAGCTTTGAGCCGTGACCTTTGCCGAGTGACACTTGAAGATGATATAGGTTGTTCAGTCACTCAATCAGATTACAGTACATCAGACTCTCATAATATAATATAATGATGAGGTCAGACATGTAGAAAGACCTTTTTCAGATAATCAGATATTACAAAAAAAAAATCACATTTTGCACATTTTAGTACTTCTGTTTGGGTTTCTACTACTCCTAAATGCTTCCTAAGTACTTAAAAAAAAACACCTAGCCACTGTTTGGAGATAATTTAATGGTTTTTGGTGTCTGAAAAGTGAGCCGTTTCAAAACTAGCAATCCCAGCCAAGTGCCGGCCATTACCTAGCAACCTCAGCAGAGCTCCGCCTGTTACCTAGCAACCCCAGTGGAGCTCTAACACATTTGGTTAGTTGGTTTTACCTCTGTATGTACAATGGCTGCTGGAAAAGACAAGTGTTTAGTGGTTGACTTACTAAGGGTGGGCGATATGGAGTTGAGGTTTTATCATAATATTTTATGGTACAATTGTGATAAAAACTATTCACTTCTTTTTTAGGTAACTGTATAACCGTGACTGTGCGACACAGCAATTACCACCCCACACACACAAATAATGCCCTTTTAAAAAAATTCCAATTTGTAATTTGCTTCTGTTGAATTACAGTTGCGTAAGGAAGTGTGATTTGTATCACTAAGCTGCATACTGTGACTGTATTTTCAATTTTATTGTTTCTTCGTTTTGAAGCATTAGTGGAGAAAATAGTCATCAAAAATTCTTATAAGACATTCATCACGATTAATGATAAACAATGTGATAAATCCCCACCACTGCAGCTTCTGCCTTCTAGAAACCACATGCTGCATTGTTTTTGGTTGTGCAGGAGGCTCCACTTCTGCTTTTCGAAGATGTACTTTTGTATGATTGTACATCTGTTTGCAGCCATTTTTATGTGTGAGTATAAACATAGAGTTGGGGGGCATTGGAGGGCCAACAGCAGCTTATTAGGATTTAAAGTGACAGAAGCCCTAAAGCAGCTCATTCTGAACTGATCAGACTAAAATCTCATGATCTAAGAATGATTTTGTGTAAAAAAATGTTTTGTATAGACCACAGACCTGCCTTAATCTGTTCAGGGAAGCATAATAGGTCACCTTTAATCTTTATTTGCTACTGGAAGATAAAATTGAATGATTTAAATCTTTAGAGTATTTAAAATCCAACATATTTAGGAAGTAAAATAAATTTAAAAAATCTCAAGAGGTAGTTCCTTAATGTATTATCATGATCTCTGCATTACTCTAAATAAGGATGATCTACCAGCTGTAGGTGTTAAAACCTAAAAAAAACTTTCTTTAAGATAAAAGACAGTTTATTTGATGTTGTATTGAACCACTAGATGAATGAAAACATCCACTTTGTTGTGGGTGTTCAGAGTGATTTTACTCAATTAACGTACACCAGCTAAAAAATAAAATGGATTTTGTAGTTTTGCCAAATAGCACAGCCCACTCCTTTTCTAAGCCTAAAAGCTACATTTGTCCACAATATGAAAGTCTAGTCATGTCAACAAAGGATCAACCTGACCTGATTCATGTCAATATTTCATTGAAAAACTCCTGGTTAATGCAGCTTTCGATTGTGAAATGTTTCATGTTGAAAATATTTCCATAAACTAGTTGAATCTCTTTGCCCTGTCGTGGTGACGGGAACAAAATCCAGAAGTAGAGTCTTTAAGCATGTGAAATGCTTTCTCACCCATCATTGCATTTCATTATTTTCATATTTTTCCTTTATTCTGGTACGACTTCTCAAATTATTATGAGCTTATTCTTGTAATTTTAATTGTACGTTTTTTCTATGTATGGCCCCAGTCATCTGAAAATACTGCAAAAATAAAACATAAAAGAAACTTGAGGTAGCAGTTTGATGTCTTGGCCTCTGTCTCTTTAAGAAGTGGGCGGTTTGCACCACTTTTACACGTGCAATCAATTGCACTGGCAATCTTTGTAGATCATGTGCTACACAACCACTTATTGTGCATGTGTTTTGCTATTTTTTTTGCTCATGAAATTTAGCATTAAATTCCTTCAACAGTTCCTTTGTAAGTTGTTTGGTGTTCACAAACATCTTAATGATTTTCTTTTCTATATGGAAGAACCTTTTTTGTGTTTAGTTAATGCACAATATAGCATAAGCACCTTAGCAGAAATACAGCTACAGGAAGTTAGAAAAGTAGACGTTTAAATTATTACTACAAAAATATAGCACGTTTTAAGTTCTCATCTTATTTTGTTTAGCATTTTAATCCTTTATTTGTCAGATGGCAACCTATTGTTTCTGTTTATGCACTATACTACTGATAGCACTTCAGCACAGCCGGCTAGCTGCAACGCTAACAGTAAAAAAAACTTATTTTTGATATTTATATTTACTAAATGGAAATAATTTTCCGCTTTGTAAAATGAATGCTGGTGTAACAGGGTTTTATTTTAGCAATATTATAGTCAAAATGTGTTTGTTTATTCTTTGAATTTTTATTTTGTTTACTCAAGAAGTTGTTTCGTCAGACATTTATTGGCGTATCAAGCTCCGGTATGCTGCTTTTGGCAGTTGGTGGTTACCATAGTAACCGGTAACTGACAGTTCCGCCCCCCTTTTTCTGTTACCGTTGGTAACGGTAGTATGTATTAGGATCAACTCTGTGTTTTCTTTACAAATATAATATTTTAACATATATATTAGAGAAATGTAATCATACAGTGTTTCATGGATAATTCTGCGATGTTTATATTTAATTTTCCAAATGCTAACTGCTGCTAACTGCTCATTGTACTTCATTTATTGGGGCTTTATACAACAAATCTGAATGTGTTTGTTGTGAAGTCAACCT